GGTTTCGACAATTCAAATGTGGTAATTTCAACGTTCAAGACAAAAAACGTCCTGGTAGGCCGAAAACGTTTGAAGATGCGGAATTGCAGGAGTTATTGGATGAAGACCCAACACAAACTCAAAAACAATTGGCAGAAAAGTTGAATGTGAGCCGAGTAGCAACTTGTGAACGATTACAAGCGATGGGAAAGATCCAAAAGTTGGGAAGATGTGTGCCGCATGAATTGAATGACAGGCAATTGGAAAATCGAAAAATCGTCGGTGAAATGCTGCTTCAAAGGTATGAAAGGAAGTCATTTCTGCATCGAATAGTAACGGGTGATGAAAAATGGATTTATTTCGAAAATCCCAAGCGAAAAAAATCATGGTTATCACCTGGCGAAGGCGGCCCATCGACTGCTAGGCCAAATCGCTTTGGTCGCAAGACCATGCTCTGTGTCTGGTGGGACCAGGTTGGTGTCGTATATTATGAACTGTTGAAACCTGGAGAAACAGTTAATACTGATCGCTACCAACAACAAATGATCAATTTGAACTGTGTATTGATCGAAAAACGTCTACAATATGCTCAAAGACATGATAAGGTGATTTTGCAGTATGACAACGCGCCGTCTTATACAGCAAAACCAGTCAAAGAAGTGTTGAAATCACTTGGATGGGAAGTTTTATCGCACCCGCCGTACTCTCCAAACCTGACTCCATCCGACTACCACCTTTTCGCATCGATGGGGCACGCGCTTGCAGAGCAGTACTTCGCCGATTTCGGAGAAGTTAAAAAATGGCTCGATGAATGGTTTAGCTCAAAGGAGAAACAGTTCTTTTGGAATGGCATCCATAAATTGCCTGAGAGATGGGCAAAATGTATAGAATCAAATGGCCAATACTCTGAATAAATATATTTTAACTATCCATTGTAAATAACGTGTTTTCTTTAGCGAAAAAACCGGAAAGGAATTACCGACACACCTGGTATATGAAGGACGACAAAGATGGAATGACGCGGCAGCGTTAGTAGCAGTGCTGCGAAAATGAGCCCGCGCACACCACAGCGTGCGAGGGGAAGCGTCCCCTCCATGCGCCTTCACGCACAAAACGCTGCTGCTCCGCCTATCGATGTGAAGCCCCGTCGCCTCACGCCAGCCTCGCCGAGCGAGAAAGAGAAAGAGAATGAGATAGAGAAAGAGAGAATGAGAAAAAGAAAGAGAATGATTTTCGCTCCTTCTCGATCCTTCTCGCCCCGACTCAACTGCGTTAATGCTCGTCCGAGCGTATTTTGGCTTTCTCGGCGTGGATCTGAGTCGTGAGCGCGATTATGATATATCGTCGCTGCCGTGAAAAGATCCCCTATGTAAATTTTCTTATCAAATCAAGATGTTTACATCAATATACTATATGTATAGTATATTCACAATTTTATTCTACATATAATGACACAAGTATGTTACAATCAGAAAACATGCACATAGGCTTTTTTACGGCAGCGACGATTTTTGACAAAATATGAAATAAATATAAGGCGAAAATTTAATATAACGTGCCGGTACGTCGCCTGGAGCGAAAATAACATACTGGCAATTTCCTAACGAACGTTCTAAGTCTTTATAAGAAACTTTTAAGCCGTTCGTTTATCGTTATGATCATGGAATGAATGCGGAACTGATATTATTTCTTGAAGCAGCTGTAGCACTATGAAAGCAATAGTGCTAAGAGAAGTTTATGCAACGTGTAAATGTTTATCAAATGGCGTTGACGGCGTTAATTCGTTCTTGATGCGGATCTAAGTCGCGGACATGACAATCATCTATACGACTATGTTAACCTACTCATAATAAAAACCACCGTTGAAAACTAAGGCTAATAGCAGTTTACAGTTTGCAATGTACAAAAGAGGATAGTCACTCTTTGCCAGCAACGTGGACGGAATCAAGCCTTAAAAATAGCAGATATTTTTGCATGTTTTATTATGATCACGTTTAATGAAGTCTAAAAAATAGGAGATATTTGCATGTCTTATTGTTATAACGCTAAAATCAGTAAAGAAAACTGTTTTCATACATGCGATAGTATGTATTATGCAGAAGAAGTGACATGAAAGCGTGTCAATAAATTTTAAAAATGCAAGTGCAAATTGCAAATCCACATTACTGTTCGATGGAAACCGCGGGAAGGTGGTGGTTTCTTCCATCAGGAGGAAATGTAAAACAATTATCTAATAAGACTCTTTTAATAGAGAAACATTAGATAATGTTCTACATTTCCTAAGGAATTAGGGAAGGAGTGAGGGAAAAGATGCGAAAGCAATAATTAAAGCAATTGCATGCAAGCGTTCAGCAAACAGTAACAACTAGCATTAAAATAACTACGAGAACAATATTCTATAAAGATGTAAACAAAACAGTACCGTACTACACATTTCATAAGAACAAGTTGCATATGCATGCTTTCTGGCAACTGTAAATACGACAGTAATTGTTTTTCTCAAAATTTTATTGTTCAACTTGTGCAGTGATTTCTCCCAAACTGAGTTTCATATTGATTTGAAATTTCAAAATAATAATATTTATTTATCTGCATCTCAGGTAAACCATGGATAACTCCATGAAAATAAAAAGAGAAGAGTATATTTCATCTATATATATATATATATATATGTAAGGAGAAATAGTATTACTTCAAAATATGAAAACGTACTTTTCAATTGCAGTTTCATAGCTTGTAATTTTAAACCACGAGTGTTCACTCGTGAGTTTATGTAAAAAGTTTAAATTGCTTCACATTATTTTGTCTACAAAGTTGTTGATCAAAGTTTTAAATGGAGAGCAGTCTTAAAAAATTATGGAGCACTTCTTGACAAACCCCCAAAATATTTCCTAATTTGTTTAGAATATATAAAAGACTTATATGAAATGCATACATTTACATACATATATATATATATATACATATATATATACATATATATATACATATATATATATATATATACATATACATATATATACATTCTTTTAATCACACGTGTAATCATATGTGATATATAATGTGATATAAATTAAGTTTTATTTCTGTTGAAAATTAATTATACACTATTAATATTTATACTAGTTCAGCTGATTTTAGAAATTAGCTGTAATTGCCGTTAAAAATAATTCATTTCTATTCAGTATATTGCAAAAAAGATTTTATCATAAATATATGTATTATTTTTAATATTATATTACGTAAACAATGTGTACGCTTTTTTCCGGTTAATCTGTAGAAATAGCGAGTTATATTTGATCGTTTCGATGTTTTAATGTAGTATATTGTTTTTGTATGGTAAAAGTATAACTTTGAAATTCTCTGAGTTGTTAACGCACGACTTGTGTGTGCTGTTTCTTTATTGTGATACAAAAATTTATTCTATTTGTTCCACCTTTAACAGAACCTACTATTAAGGAGAATATTAATTAAAAAATCAAAACGGTCAAAAATTATTTGGTATTTCTAGTGTCTTTTTCTTTTTCTATGTTCCTTCCTCTATCCTTTATTCTGTCCTCTGCCTTTTGTTCTCTGTCCATTAGTTTTCTATATTTTACGCCTATCCTTTTGTATTTATTTTGTCTATCCTTTCTATCTATTCTCTTGTATATCTATATTCTTAGAAAATGTAAAAAAGTATATTCTTTTTTAATATGTGTATATATCAGGTGTAGTAAAAAGAAATCCATTATTTTGGCATGAAATTGAAGGCTTTAATTACCATAGTTAGAATGATCCGATTTAGGTCAAATATGCGCCGTTTTGTTCGATAACTTGTTGCCATTTTGAAGGTAATTTCATTATGCCTCTCTCATAGAAGCCCTCGTCCCTATTGGCAAAAAATTGAGACAGTCGATTTTCACAAGCCTCTCTTGAAGCGAATTTTTCACCAGCAAAATTGTTCGCCATGGACAGGAACAGATGGTAATCACTTGGTGCCAGGTCCGGACTATAAGGTGGATGCATAAGAACCTCCCAACCAAGCTCCCGGAGCTTCTGGCGAGTCACATCGATGTGTGTGGCCTGGCGTTGTCCTGATGGAACACAATTCCTCTCCTATTGGCCAAAGCTGGCCGCTTCTGGGCGATTGCTTCCTCCAGACGGTCCAATTGTTGACAGTACAGTTCCGAGTTAAGAGTTTTGTCGTAGGGGAGCAGCTCATAGTAGATAATTCCCTGCCAATCCCATCAAACATACAGCAAAACCTTCCTGGCCGTCAATCCTGGCTTGGCCACCGTTTCCGCCGGCTCATCGCGATTCGACCACGACCGTTTTCGCTTGACGTTGTCGTAAGTCCACTTTTCATCACCAGTGACCAACCGCTCCAGAAATGGGTCGATTTTGTTGCGATTCAGCAGCGATTCGCAGATGGAAATTCGGTCCATGAGGTTTTTTTTCGTTAACTCGTGTGGCACCCATACGTCGAGCTTCTTTTTGTATCCAGCCTTATTCAAATGGTTCCAAACGGTTTTTTGTGCAATCTTTAGCTCTTGGGCAATCGAAACAGTGCTTACATGACGGTCGGACTCAACAATGTCCATGATTTTATCGATATTTTCGACAATTGACCTTCCAGTGCGTGGTGCATCTTTGACATCGAAATTACCGGAACGGAATCGACGAAACTAAAATTGCGCGTGATTGGCTGTTACAGTATCAGTACCATAAACAGTATTCACATTTTCAGCCTCCTGGCTTGCGTTTTCGCCTTTATCGAAGAAAAACTGTAAAAGCGTATTTTCTCTTTGCTAGTGTCCATCTTTGACGCGCGCTCAAACAAAACTGAGTCAACTAATCACAAAACTGTCAGAAAAGTTTTTTTTAGTACGAAATCTCATCTTTCTAACGCCATCTAGTGGAACCCGATCGGACTTATACAACGCGAGATACAGATAACTAAAGCCATCTATTGGAAAAATAATGGATTTCTTTTTACTACACCTGATATACAATATAGTGAGGAGAATAAATTCTTCCATCTAATATACTAAATACATATTACAAACTTGTAGCTGAATGGAATGGTGACCTTTCCGATTAACATAGGCTTCTGGATGTATATGTGGAGATGGGATATTGATGTGAGTACTATGGATAGCTCCTATGACTTTAGGGAAGGAACTAATTACTTCAAATCCTGTCCAAACTTCTTGGATAGCGTTGCCTGTTGGCCATTTAATTAATACTGGTGCTAAATCTGCAAGTATCTTGGTAACTCGACGTGTTGTTAATAAGGCTGTTGATCGACTCACATCAAACTTTTCACATATTGATCTAGGATTAAAAAAATTATGAGTGAAAAATGCAACATTACCTTGAGTAGGTCTTATTATTAGATATAATGTACTAACCTGTAAGAATCTGGTGTAGCCATTCGCCAAATAGCAATAAAAAACTGTTTCTCTGGGGAGATCATTCCTAACCCTGGATACTTTCTCTTAAGTTTCGGGGCAATTATCAAGAGTACAAACTCAAAAGTGTCTGGATATTCTAGATAAGAAGTGTGTAGAACTAAAATTAGTACAGACATACAGTGTATTCGACTGGACCTGGGTTAACTCATGCTGGGTTACATAAACTCAACTTAGTCCCTGTTCCACAACTTGCTTTAAACGGAGCTTAAAGCTAAACCGATGGTTAAAAGCAATAGTATATGCGCATATACTATTGCTTTTAACCATGGAACTGGGCCTTTTTTTTTTTTTTGGTCACGCAGGGGAAATCCTCATGGATACCCCCTCCCCTTGGGGGGAAGGGGGTTATGTCGGACTCTTACCGACTAAAACCCCTGCGGGATGTCTACCTGTCGGACCGTGAGGAGGGGAGTCAGGGGAACTATTTCGTATTCCCTCCCCAACCCCCCGGCCCCAAGGCTCCCTTCGGGGAGCCCCTCGCCACCTATGTACCGCACCCTGTTCCACAGAGGGAATCCGGGGCGCGGTCCCCGACGGGGGTTACCCCCGGCCGGTTGGCCTTCTGGTGTCTCCTAGCAAGGAGGGAGGGGACATCCACCCCCCTCCTTACCCCCCTTCCCGCTAATCAGGGAGGGGGGGATTTGTAGGGGAGCGGGCCCGGCCCCAACCGGGGCACCGCTCGCATCTGTCCCTACTTGTCCGGTCGCTCGGGGGGGGAAGGCAGGGAAGGCGTCTCGCCGCCCCCCTACTCCCCCCCTTGTGGCCGGTGGCAGGCTCGGGGCGGCCGAGGAAGCTCCTGACCCTCGCGCGCCTGTGAGCCTTCGTCGGCCGGCGCTGCCCCGGGCCCGCTGTCGAGTCCCTCGTCCCCCCGGGGGCGATAGCCGTCCGGGAGCTGCTCCCTGCAGCTCCGGTACGGCCTTCGCCCCCATTCGGCGGTCTCCTTCTGGGACATCACTGTCTCGCAGAAGGAGACCGCCGCTGACCACGCCTTCTCGCTCCCGCACATGGCTTTCACCATGTGCGGGAGCGAGAGTTCCCCCTCTCGGCACCCCACCACCCCGCAGAGGACACGGCGCTCCCCGGCCCATGCTGAGCACGCGACCAGGATGTGGTGCGCCGTGTCCTCCGCCGCGGGGCAGTGGTGGCATCGAGTGGTGAGCTCCTTCCTTATCCGGCGCAGATACCGGCCGAAGCATCCGTGCCCGGTCAGCATCTGCACCAGACGGAAGGATAGTCCACGTCCCCTCCTGCCTGCCAATTCGGACAGGCAGGGGCGGACAGCCGCTGCCGTCGCTGGCCCGGGACCCGGGGGTCGGATAATAAGTCCTCCCACCTCTCCCGGGTCCGGGCCTCGGCTTGGAGCTTCACACCCCTTAGGGCCCTGGCCGACATTCTTCCCTCCCTGTGAAGCTCCATTACCCTCCAGTAAAGGAGATGCCGCTCCTCGGCTAGGAGCTCCACAGGGGGGACACCGGCCAGGGTGGTCGCCGCCATGTACGACACGGTCCGGTACCCCCGAATCGCCCTGATGAGCACGGGCCTCAGGGCCTGCCGCAGTGCGCGCTTGCCTCTGCGGCAGGCCCCCAGCTATGGCGCCCAGATAGGTGCCCCAGCACAGGGCGATCGAGAGCACCGCCGTGACGTACGGGCGGCGAGCCCTCCATCCTGGGCCCCCTTGAGTGCGCGTCAGGCTGGCCACCGCCAGACCTGCCTTGCGCACCTTGGGAGCCAGTTCCCCAAAGTGGGGTCCGAAGCTCCACCGGCTGTCCAGCGTCAGGCCGAGATATCTCATCGTCGGCCCGACGCGGACGTGGACTCCATCTACGAGTATCCGGATCTCCGGCGGCACCCTCTGACCCCGGCCGTGAAAGAACACGGCCTGGGTCTTTTGGGACGCCACCTTGAGACCCAGGTCTCTGATGGTACTCACCACTGACACCAGTACCGTCTCCGCTAGGAGGTGGGCTTCCCCCTAGCTCTCCCCACTGGCTACCACTAACGTGTCGTCCGCATAGCAGACGACGTGGCAACCGGGGGGAAGCGGAGTGCGCAGCACCCGGTCGAACGCGATGTTCCATAGCAGGGGGCCGAGAACCGACCCCTGCGGAACACCGCGCTCCATAGCACGCCGTCCCTGGACCCCGCCCTCCACCGGGAAGGCGAGGTTCCTGCCCCCGAAGTAGGCCGAAATTATTCGCCGGAGATAGGCGGGCACCCCGTGGTGTTCGAGGGCCCGCCCAATCTCCGGCCAGGGCAGGGTGTTGAAGGCATTCGTTATGTCCAACGAAACCGCCAACAACACCCCGCCCTCTTCCTCCACGACCGCCTGGGCTAGGTCCCGGAAACATTGGATAGCATCCAACATCGATCTTCTGGGCCTGAACCCGTATTGGCGGTCGTGGAGATCCGGCCCCTCCGAGGACAGATGCTGGACGAGGCGGTCTGCAACGATGCGCTCCAGCATCTTGCCCGCCTCGTCCAGCAGGCATATCGGCCTGTAGGCTGACGCACTCCCGGGTGCTTTGCCCTCCTTGGGGAGGAGGACTAATTTGGCCCTCCTCCACTCTGGGGGGAATACCCCCTCCTTGAGGCACCCGCTGAATACCCTGCGCGTGGCTTCGGACAGGTTTCCCTCGTCGAGGGCGAGGGCCCAGGCTCGGCCAGGAATTCCGTCGGGGCCAAGGGCTTTCCCCTTGGCCCCGAGCCTTTTCCTGGCCGCGGTGAGCTCCCATGGACTCATCGCCAGACCCTCATCCCAATCACCCTCCCCCCGCGGGGGGGTCGGGATCATGGGGGGCCCCCTTCTGCCCTCGGAAAGAGGGCGTCCAGGAACCCCTCGAGGGTCTGACGGTCCAACGTCTCCGTTGGTGAGGGCGCCCATGGACGGATCTTTCCCATGACCCTTTTGTATGGGCGCCCCCACGGATCGTTGTCCAGGGAGCTCACTATCTGCTGCCAGGCCGCTGGCTTGGCCTCGACGATGGCGACCTTGAGGGCTTTCCTGGCTTACAGGTAACCCTCTCTTGTCCTCGCGGCATCCCCGCCTCGTCGCCGGGCCCGGTAATACAACCGTCTGGCTCGGACGGAGGAGTCCCGGAGTGTCTCCAGCTCTTCCGTCCACCAGTACATGGCCCGGCGCCGGCGGGGGTGGGATTGGGGCATCGCGACGTCGCATGCCGACGCCACGATGCTCACTATTTCCCCAGCCCCGTCCGTGGGGCTGGGGTCCCACTCACCCGGCCCCGCATCTAGGTGCCAGGTGGCCGCAAGGACGGCCGCCCGAAACCTGTCCGAATCGAGTCGATTAAGGGCCCACCTTTTGGGGAGGGGAAAGTTCCCCTCCCCAGGGCAGCGTGCCAGCACCTGTGCGGGTTTGGGGAGGCGGAGGGCCCACGCTATATGTCTGTGATCAGACAGCGATTCGTCCTCCGCCTCCACCCTCCATTGCTGGAACATCTCCGCGGCCGAGGGGGTGGCTCAGGTCAAATATATGACCGACTCCCCTCCCCCGGCCGCACACAGGTGCTGGTTGAGCCTCTGTTCATTAACATGAGGCCCAGCCCCGCTGCCCAGCCGATCACGGACTCGCCCCGAGGGTCCCTTTGCCGGGGACTGCAACCCCACCCTTCCGAGTGGGCGTTGAAGTCCCCGGCAATCACGACAGGTCGGGGATGGCACCTACGCACCAATTCCCCGGTCCTGTCGAGGACCCTCTTCACTGGGGCGAGCTCCCCGAGACCGGCCTTATTCCTGCGGTGGGGGAGATACACCCCCACCACAGTGATGGGCCCCCAATCGACCGCCACGTACGAGGACCCGTTCTCCCTGAAGGTACAGGGAGGGGACTGTGGAACTGGGCCATATTAGTCGAACGTATATTATACTATACCATATAGTACATGTTCGACCAATAAGCTGGGTTTATTTAACCCAGCATGGGTGAACCCAAGTCCAGTCGAATATGCTAATAGAAAAATTTCGCTAATTTCTTTCCAATAAATACCGAATATCACTATACTAAACACTTTTTGTTGAAATTTCAAATGACAATATTGAAAAATTACATTACGTTACATTATATTTATGTTATAATTTACATTATATATTATAAATTACATTACATTACATTTATGTTATAATTTCTCACTTAACAATGTAAATGTAATAAAATACAAATTGCATGTACTTTGCTGCAGTATTTACTGAGCTACCATAAATAAATACATAATGTGAAAGATGTTCACCATTCTATGATGTATGTATAGAACTTTGAAAATTAATTAAAGATAATTTATCATTACCTAAAATGCGACTTAAATTCTTGATCTTTCCACCTAGGTATCACCTCTTCCACATAATTTTGTAGTCTTGGCACTTTCTTCTGACGTCCTACTTTTAAATTAATGAGTACATCCTTCTTCGTCATCAGATGATGAAGACTCTATTAATTCACTCAGAGCGAAGAGTAAAAGACTTAATAATTTTTTTCTTTTTTGGTTATCCATATTTGCACCAACATCAGCCATATTGTAACGATAAATTCACTCAAGTAAGCAAGTAAGCAAGCTCGAGCAGCTCGAAAGCGTAAGCTGCTTATAGTCTCTCCGAACGCATCTATCAACGTTAGCGTTTGTTGCGTGATAGCGTGCTCTTCGAACGCACCCAGTATATGTTATTCCACCGAAGGGTAAACAACATATTTTTTCATGGCGTTAAACATGTCGAATTTCGTGCCAAGAAAGAGTATTAGCGGGGAATTTTACTGCATTACTTTAAGAAAAAAAATTTGCAGCTGATGCACATAGAATTCTTGTGGAGACTTACGGCGACCATGCTCTGTCGGAAACAACATTCAGAGATTGGTTTAGACGCTTTAAAAATAATGATTTTGATGTTGAAGATAAAGAACGCTCTGACGCACCGAAAAAGTTTGAAGACGAAGAATTGGAAGCATTACTCGATGAAGACTCATGTCAGACACAAAATGAACTTGCAGAATCATTAGGAGTTGATTACACAACATTTGCCAAACGTTTAAAAGCATTAGGAATGATTCAAAAGCAAGGAAATTGGATGCCGTACGAATTGATGCCGAGAGACGTTTTCTCACGTGTGAACAGCT